TTGTGAATACCATTTATATCTTATAAGGGATCGACAATGTAATCTTCTGTGTGACTGCTAACACACCACATTGTCTACAATATATGATAATTGGACATTTAGCATACAAGCAATCATAAAGAATGCAACAATGTGAAAACATTTATTTCAGTCAAATGGGAAATCGAATAAATACAATCCAAAAGCTCACATAAAAGTTTGCTTTACTGTATACCCCAACACAAACATCCTGACTGATGACCACCACCACATCCGGCTCACGCTCCACGCGGGACTCCATCACCTGAAAAATAGGGTAGTGGGGAGGCGTGAGCACAAAGGAATCAACGGTGCTCTGCCAGGACCGGCACTGAATACTCAGCACAATTAATAACAAACTATGAAATCAACATATATATGAATAAACTGGTCTGGCTATGGGACTAACGGTAAACCGGTACTCATGTGCACACTCTGGGGGTCCCCTCTCACAGAAATTCAGGAAAGGCACTAATCACCCCATCTGGACGCTAGACTTAGGACGGGCCCTAATCACACACATCCAAGTCATAACCGAAATACTGAAATATTGACCAAGACGGGATCACTCATCCGTCTCGGTCCTTCAATTTAATCACATATAGATCTCAGACATGGTAAATTATTAAAAGCGATGAAATACACAGTACATGGTCCCCACCTAGAAAACGGCAAATGCGGATGCTGAAATATCTAAAATATGTTGTGTAGCAGGCGGAGGCTCGACTCTCCTCAAGCTACAAAATTTACGAGCGAAATATTCTAAGTACTGGGCTCAGAATAAAACTCGAATCTTTAGTACCTTATATATCTATGTTCGCTCACTCTGCTTTAAAAATCATTTTAGGGATTTACGAGCTGATTTTTGAAAATATTATTGTCTTTGAGGCATTCTAGAGTTCTCTGAAATATTTCTAAGTCTGGAACTAAAATCTGACTTAATATAATCTGACTGAAATCTAAACTATATCTGGATTTTTAATCTATCTGGAATCTTAACTATATTTGAAATCTATCTGAAATATATATCTGAAATTCTATCTGAAAAATATATCTGAAATTCTCTATAAAATTCTATATCTGAAATTCTATCTGAAATTCTATCTGAAATTCTATCTCTGAAATTCTATCTGAAATATATCTAGAACCGTCTGGACTGACCGGACCGGTTCAACTGAATTGGACCACGGCTCACTCGGAGCCGGTCGATCATTTGCTTCACTATGTGCAGCTCGGTTTGACCGTGGTCTGAGTTCGGCGTGGCAACTCAGGCCGGCACGAACTCGATAGACACGGCTTAGCCGATGCACGGGTTTGGAACGGTGCCTCGGTCACTGACGCAGGGGCGTGCTTGTACCACGGCTAACGAAGACGACGCGTAGACGGTAAGTTAGATGGACTCGGTGCACGGGCACGCACTCGGGGGTTTGACTCGGACTCGGTGCACGGGCACGCACTTGGCGATTCGGCTACAATGGTAGGACGAGAGGCGATCACGTGCACGAGACGACGATACGCATTACGAATTAACCATACGACGACTAAAAATTATTCAGACGGTACTAGGGTTCATACATTTATAATCGGATCCAGAAAAATTCCCGGTTATTAGAACCGAATAAAACTAGGGTTTTGATTCTTGAAAATCCTAACTCAATTAAGGCCGATAATTAATATACATATTCTATGTGATTTATAATATATCTATAATCCACAACTGCAGCTAAAATCTCAATCAAACTACTATTTTATTTTTACGGCATTAATATCTAAAGTCCCGATTTTTATAACTAAGTCAAACGACATCTAAAGTTCCCGAAAATCAAAACATAACATTCTCAATATATATATGGTCCACGGTCAACAAATCAAGTCTAAAGTCAACCCCTAGACTAGTCAACTAAAAATCGCTACGACAGGTCAACGCATTTGACCGGCTCGTTTACCTATCAAACAACGTCCAAAAATTCTCAAATTCGCACCTAAGCCTCAAAACGACGTAATGAATTTAATGGTAATTATTTTAACATTTTATCGCATTTATTTTAAAGGTCCCGAAAAATAGCTTTAAGCTCGTAAATGTCCCGAAAATTCAAAATCGCTCAAATCACCCAATTTATTTATTTTGTATCATCTCAAATATTTTATCTAAGCCATCGAAGTCCGGTTTAAGATCTTTTACCTTAAAACGCCTCGGATCGAAGCAAACGAGAGCGGATCGGGCTAGAAAATGGGTTCAATAAAACAAATCGGGCCAAATTAGGGGCAATGGGCCTTGGACTCAGGCTGAGGGTGCTAAAATCAGACTAAAAGTGTTGCTGGTCGCGCGCGTGGACTGCAGCTGGTCGGGTTTGGAGCAAGGGGCGCGAGTCCGGGCAATTATCGCAAGGTGGCGCGAGCTCGAGCTTGGGAGACGCGCATGGAGGCGTTGGCTTGCGGGTTTGGCCAAGGGAAGGTCCCAGTCGCGGTGAGGTGCTATTTTTCAGGCGTGAGCTCGCCGAAATCAGGCCTGCGACGTGCTGGTGCGGGGTGAGCGGACTTGGTTCACAGAGGCTCGTGAGCTCAGTGGGACTGAGGCTTGTGAACGGCGGATGCGGGCCGTGGGTGACGTGGACGAGCTGGGGAGGAGCTGTTAATGAGTTGCCAGCTACGAGCTGCAGTTGTTGGGAACTCGCCAGAAAATGGGCCGACGCACGGATGAGGTCGCGAGCTCGCTGGAAAAGCAAGCGCGGGGCTCGCGACCGTGCTGGAAACGGCACGTGGCTCACGAAACCGAGCTGAGAATGGTTCGTTGGCACGGCCAAGGAGTGGTCGGGACTCGTGCAGGAGCTGCACGGCTGAGAGGACGCTTTGATCGAGCTACAGGGTGTGTGGAGTTGGAAAGGTTGCAACTCAAGGGTGGTGCGGCTCGAGTCGTCGCGGCTTGCCGGAGCGGGTTCACTGGTGACGGAATCTCATCGGAAGGTGGTCGGATTTTGAAAGAGAATGGCTATGGAGTTGATGCTTGGAGTTCTTAAATGTGGTAGTTAGGGTTTTAATGGGGATGATGATGAATAGTATTTTGGGGGTGGAATGAGGGTATGTTGTATTTATATGGAGATAAAATAGGGTTTTCTTGTCTTGTTGGGCCAAGATTCGGGCCGTAGGATTACTACCACTCGGGCTTAATAATTCCTATAATCGGGCTTGGGATTTAACACAATAGGCTTTAAAAATCTTAAAACTGAGCTACTAAATTTAATTCGACTTGGGCTCGAATTTTATATTGAATATCGATTAAAGAATTAAATGCTCGGTTAATAAAATTAACCGGACTTGGGCTATTTAAATGAGTCGGTCAAATTTACTAGAATAATTGAGCTCGGATTTGAAAATCGACTATAGCTCGATTTTTAAAATGGACTAAAATAAAATCGAACTTGAGCTCGATTTACTAAAATGAAATGAGCCGGCTAAAATAAATGGTCTCGCTCATAAATGATTAGGCTCGAATAAATTGATTATTCGGGCTTGGCCCGCTTTAATGAGATTCCGATCATTCATAGGCTCGGTTAATAAATTATAATTGATACTTGGGCTAGATAGATCCGACTTAAATAAATTCTCTATGGCTTAGACTTTAATAATAATTATTCAATTTAATGTAAATAAATATAATAAATGCATCAAATTAGAAAACTGACTATTTGTGGAAATAAAGTCGAGCTCCATAAATAGTAAATAAAAATCTGGGCGTTACAGGTTGCTTCTGTTGGTACTGCGGATGAGATGGCTGTTTTTGTTGGTATTGCTGTTGTTGATGTTTTTGTTGGTGTTGTTGTTGTCGCTGTTGCTGTTGGTGTTGCTGTTGTGGCTGCTTTTTCGGTGGTGGCGGAGGCAGCGGAGTCTGTCGTGGCGGGGATCGTTGTGGTGGCTCTGGTCGAGAATCGGAGGAGGTGGCTGACCCCTAAACTTTATCCCCGACTGAGCCGAAGGTGGCCCCAGATTTCCTCTTCAAGGGAGCTCTCCTCAGAGGAATGTTAAAACTAGGAGCCTCTGCAAAAAAGATAACAGAAAATTATGGTCGATATCAATGAAACTCACTTTAATTGAAACAGGAAAGAGACCGCTCGAGAAAGCTGATCGAAGATTACCTGGATCAGCCTTAATCCGAATAAGATCAAGGACCTTTTCGGTGGGGGGAGGGCAGGTTTTGTGGGTGAGGAGGCTGCAGTAATGGAGGAGGCTCTCATCTTTGAGGAGCTTTTCTGACTTAACGGGCTTGGAATTCCAAGAGTGAATCCATTGGTCGAAAAGAGCGTTAGGAGGAGGAGGAGGGGTAGAATTCTTTTGCGGAAGTTCCTTGACCCATGGGATAGAGGGCCAAGGAAAATGGGTGCTGGGCTTGACAAAAATAAACCTATCAATCCACTTAGGAATGTTGGTAGGAATATCGTTGATGAAATGGACGCCGTTTCTGCTCTTTAGGTAGAAGCCTCGACCTTGTTTGGAAAGGGCATAGCAATAATGGAAGAAGGCGAGGTCGAAACGACCCAGGCGGATGGCAGAGGATTATGAAGGTGGTCATAAAATGGATGGCATTAAGAGGAAGCTGGTGCAGAGGAAGCCCAAACCACTCACAAATTTGGAGCAACTCAGGACTTAAAGGGAAACGAAGCCCAAGCTTGAATTGGATTTCGAAAAAAGTATAATAGTCCCTCGGGGGATGATCGTATTTGTCGGAGGGAGAAGACCTATAGAACGACCAACCGCTAGGGTGGCTGATATTCTCAGAAGTATACCAGCTGTTGGAGAGAGAGGAAGAAGAAGGGCGCTTTGTGGAGGTTTTGTGGGGGTTTTTTGTCGAAGTTTTGTTTGGTGGGGAGTTTGGAGCATCAGGTTGAGGAGGAGAAGCTTGAGGAGGAGAAGGAGGAATGGTCGAAGATGCTGGGGGAACAGCCTGAGAGGAAGAGGGAGGATTGGTCGAAGATTTAGGACAAGTGGGTTGAGAAGAAGTGACCTCATCCTCCTTTGGCTCATCTAACGAGTCAAAGGCAGGTCGACGATGGCGGAGGGGGATGATATCCATGGTATCCCCAGAATTAGCAGAAGCAACGCGAGCTGTAAAGACACGAGTAGGAATGGTATCGCTGGGGCGAAGGATAGAAAGAGGAACGACTTCGAGTGCAGAGGGAAATATTTGAACCGAGTCGGAGGAGGTGGTCGAAGTAGCAGGATCTGAAAAAAAAAAAAAGAAAAGAAAAAACAATATCAAAAAGAAAAATTCTAACGAAAAGAAAAAGGGGGAAGAGGAGAAGGTTTTCGAATCTAGGGCTCTATGAAGAGGTAATTTTGGAGAAATTAAGGAAGGAAAACAGGGATTTCGGGAGATTTTTGAAGAAAAAGGCAAAATTCACAGTGATTAACAAACAAACACAGGCATCCAACACACAAATTCAAAACACTCAATCAGCAAACTCCAGATACCTAATTCAAAAAATTCAAAACACAAAATCTCGGATACAGGAAACGTAAAGTCAGGCGAGGAGCAACTTACTCATAATCGCAGATGAGGGAACTGGGAAAGCTCGAGGATTGCAGGAGGAATCGCCGAAAAAATTAGGGTTTTCGTAGAAGGAATTCTGAGCATAGGAGAGTTTGAAATTGCAAAGGTGGAAAAACTTGGAAAATCCACTGAGTGTTGAATTTATACCCTGGAAGATTAAAGGGTTGAAAGATGAGAACGGTGGATTAAAGCCAAGTCTTACGGTGGAGAGCATTAACTCACACGACACTCAAAGTAAGCGCGTTCTGCGAGGAGGCGTAATGATTAAAGTATCTGACAAAGACAGCAGAAGCGACACGCGGCAGAAAAATAGGCGCGATAGAAAGGACATGTGAGAGGCTATTTTATTGCTGGAAATTAATGAGGAATTATTTGAAAAAATGAGTGGAAAACTCACTAGGTGGTCGATATCTGACTTCAGACCATCCAGAAAAGCGACGAGCACGAATTCACTCTTAGATCGAGTCACCCAGACTCGACCAGAGTGGGGGGGGGACTAGATGATATAGGATATTATACCTACAAGGATAGATCGGTCCGCTGACCGGTCGAAAAGGTCATGTCACGAGGAATCCAAGTCGAAATCGACCAATCAACCAGTCGACCAGCCAAGCAGTCGACCAATCTACCCTTCAACCAGATGAACAGTCGAGCAGCTTAGTCGACCTCGATCGGTCGACCACTTTGCAGACTTAACACTTCACAGATCGGCCTAGTCACAGGCGCGTGAAAGAGTCTCTAACGGAATTTCATGAGAATATTCATCCCATGTGCAGGAGGACACGTGTAGAGAACTTATTGGTTGATAGCGACAACCACCTCTGACAGCTCCCAGCGTCCCGCGCACCTCTGACATGCGCGCCGTGTGTCAGAGTACGGACGGGCACCTTGGCAGCCAACTCATCAAATCCAGGCAGCCTTAGGGCAGGTATTTCACTCCTATATAAAGGGGGTGAACCTTTCTTCCTTAACACGATCATTCTATTACTCACTCTTGAGAATTGATTGAATATACACTGACTTAAGCTTCGGAGGCTCTTCACCGGAAAACCCCTCCGGTGAGAGTTCTTTGTAGGTGCACGACGTTCAACCGGCAAAAAGGAAGGCGATTATTCGAGTTCTAGCCGGTCGGGAAGTTTTGTGTTACCAGGGTAGAATACCTAGATTAGCTGGTGTGTTACATGTTGATGAACTAAAGGAAAATCTTTTGAGTGTGAGTCAACTCTGTGATCAAGGTCTTAATGTCAGTTTCTCATGTGATAAGTGTTATGTGAAAGACAGTGAAGGTTCTTGTGTGCTTACAGGTTCTCGTTCATCGGATAACTGTTATCTTGTTGATTTTAATGGAAAATGTCTTTTCCTAAATGTGAGTGAACCTGAAATCTGGCATCAACGCTTAGGGCATATTGGATACTCTCACCTTGTCAAATTGACCAATGCAGGTGTAGTCAGGGGTGTTCCAACGATTGCTATGAAGGACCAGCCCAATTGTGAACCGTGTCAACTAGGTAAGCAAATGAGGACATCCCACAAGTCACTGAACCATATTGCTTCTAAACAGATCCTTGAGCTTCTTCATATGGATCTCATGGGTCCCATTCAGGTAGAAAGCTATCAAGGTAAAAAGTATATTTTTGTGTGCGTTGATGATTTCTCACGATATACTTGGGTTGATTTTTTGCGTGAAAAGTCTGACACATTCTCTGCCTTTAAGTCACTTTGTTTGAAGGTTCAAACCGAAAAAGGCTTTCCCATAATAAGTATTCGAAGTGATCACAGAAGAGAATTTGAAAATTCTGAGTTTACGGAATTTTGTGATTCTCTGGGTATTAGTCACGAGTTCTCAGCTCCTAAAACTCCACAGCAAAATGGAGTTGTTGAAAGGAAGAATCGTACTCTCCAAGAAATGGCCAGAGTCATGTTGAACTCCAAAAACATCTCTTTTAGATGGTGGGCTGAGGCTGTCAATACAGCATGCTACCTCGTGAATCGAGTGTACCTTCGTCGAGGTATTGGTCTGACTTCGTATGAACTCTGGAAAGGTAAGAGTCCTAACCTCAGTCACTTGCATATTTTTGGTTGTAAATGTTTTATCTATAATGATCGTGTACAACTTGGGAAGTTCGATGCAAAATCGGATATTTGATTCTTTCTTGGTTACTCTAACAATAGTCGAGCGTATCGTGTTTACAACACAAGTACCTCCACTGTAAT